TGGGGTGAGCTCCCTGTGCACGTGCTGCTCTGCTCTGGTGCAGTCCCTGCAGGGCTGGGTGTCCCTGCCCCTTGGGGGGCACTGAGGCAGGTCCCTGGGCAGCCCTGGTGCAGTCCCTGCAGGGCTGGGTGTCCCTGTCCCTTGGGGGGCACTGAGGCAGGTCCCTGGGCAGCCCTGCTGCCACTCCAGATGGGCACCCCAGCCTGAGGTGCCCTGGTTGGCTTCCAGGGGCACTGGAGCACCTCTCACTGCTCCCTCCCTCCCACCCAGTGCACAGCTCTCATCCTCATGGAGCTCTGAACTAGAAATAGCTGCTCTTTTTTTTTTAAAAAAAGCCTGTTTTTATAATTTGGTAGTTACTTGCACTAGATGACAACCAGGTAATTCCTCCACTCAGCATTTCATGTTCCTGCATCACTGTCTTGAGCCCTGGCCTTGTGTTGTGACTTGACACTGCACAAGTGTCCCATATCCACTCCCCAGGAAGAACTGTGGTGGGACTGTGGATTATTCTCTGCTGAAGGGACAATCTCATTCCACTGTGCAGCTCACACTGAGCATTTGGGTGAGGAATGTGTGGTAGGCCAAACCTTCAGAACTGTGGAAGTGAAATTTTTCCACCTGTCTTCCTTCTTGTGGCTTTTCTTGGCCTCAGAAGGAAAGCCACAACAAGGAGCACAGGATGTGAGCTGACTAATGTAACTGGGATAGTTTTTATTTCTCCTGTGTCCAAAGCTCACTCTATTTTCTTGTGTGGTGTGAGGAGTTAGGGGGAGGTGAAAGGCCCTCAGTCTCTGCTCTCTCTTCAGAGGAGTTTCTGAGGCACTTTTACTGGACACTGTTCCCTCTTTAGCAGCTGTGGCTGTGACCTGGGCTCTAAGTCCAGTTACTCTGGGCAAAGCCTGTGGGCAAGCTGGAGACCTCACTGCTGGCTGGGAAGCCAAAACCCTGGCTGGGAAGGTGGCCTCAGTGACTGCAGCAGCACCCTGTTACCAGAACACTAGAGCTTCTCTGCTTCACTGGGACACGTCCTGTCCTGAACCCTTCAGCCCACAGCAACACTTGTGCCTGGGCTGTGCTCTGCTGACACACCTCTGCAGGTGAATTCTTCCCCTTGGGCACAGATTCCCTGGTGAAGCTTTTCAGATGGAGTAGTTAGCTGTATGCACCTGGTACCTGCAAAAGGATCCTGACTTTTTTTGTCTTCTTACTACACTGAGGGCATTTTGGAGACAAAGTTTCACTTAGACCATCCCTCTGGGAGGCAAAATTCTTGAAAATAGCTCTAAAGCAGATGCAGTTCCACTTGTGGGAGTGGGGACCAGACTGCTCTTGGCTGTATTCTAAGTAGTCATTTAACCCTGACCCTCTGTCTCTCTTGGTGTTGCCCCTGCTGCCCCTGCCCCACTGTCACTCCTGCAGTCTCACTGCACCCCCTGTCCCCTCGGCTGTGAGGGTGGCTGTAACCTGCTAGCCAAGTCCTGGATTCTGCTGGTTGGAGTTTTCTTTCTCTGCTCAGATCGTTGTGAGGTCCTGTCATTTCAGTTCCCAGTTCCCCAAACCAAGGGAGTTCATGGCACCAACTAACAACTCACTAGGAGCCTCTTCTGTATCGTCTTAGTATCCTGGAGATAATATATTATGTATTTGAAAAGCTAAAGAAGCAAAAATTAAAGATATATGTATATAAAGCATAAGATGTACTGGTGAAAATGGTAATTAAACAAGTAATGCTGGGGAAGAGAATGTCCTGAGTGTAAGGTGTCAGAGTTGCTGTGGAAGCCTGCAGCCTGCAGGGCTGGCTCCAGTGACCCCTGCAGGGGGGCTGTGCCTGTGGCCTGGGCCAAAGCTGCAGGGGGAGTGGCTTCACCTCTGCCTGGGCAAACAGCTGGGGGAGTGGAAGGAGGACACAGAAAAGACCTGGGGCTTTTCCAAATGTGCTAAAAAAACCCAAACAAACAAACCAAAACCCAACCCCAAACCAAAAACCCAACAAAACAACACATGGAACCAGGCCTGTCTGTAGGGAGTGTGATGCTCAGTGGTGTCAGTCACATGAGCCAAGGAGAACTCAGTTGCTCTGCCACACAGAATTCCTGCAGCCTGTGGGTGCTGCCAGAATCTGCCCTGGCCACACGTGCAGGTGGGAAGCTCTCTCCTGGCTGACTGCAGAGGTGAAGGAGGAGAGCCCAGCAGGCCCCTTAGCAGCCAGGGCAGGGCGAAGCCCTCAGTAGGAACTGCAGCAGGAAGGGTTGAACAGCCCCAGGGGGTGTTTCCCCAGTGTGGGAGGATTTTTGGGCGAGGTGTACCTGAGGGCTCTGCTGGATCACACTCCTGCCTGTGCACAGGGCAGCACAGAGGGCTGGCCAACAGGCCATGAGGAGAGCTTAGTCCTCTCTGAAGTCCTTGTCCTGTCCCCGTGTCCTCCCTCACGGTGAGGCCTGCCAGAGCTCCACAGCTTGATGTGCTTCTGTAACTCCTCTCCTCTCTTGGCAACCATCAGGAACAGTCTCTGTGCCCAGTGAGGGAAGCTGGCTGTGGTGGTAGGTCACTGGTGAAAGGACTTGGCCTGTGGCTGGACTGGCTGAACGTTCCCTTCTCTTCCCACTCTGTTTCCAGTGGTGCTGCAGACCTGCACCTCTCATGCTGACTATAACCTGCTCTAGGCAAAGGATTAGGGCCAGGCCTTTAATGTGGATCAGCAGATCAAACTGAGCAATGTCTCCTGACATCTGTTATGAACAGCTCAGCTGGGTTCCTGGGCAGCTGGAGAGAGCTGCCCTTGGGCTGAGGGGCAGCAGTCAAAGCCTGTGCAAATGGGAGCCAGGCTGCAGCATCTACCAGGCACCAAAAGGGAGACCCTGGGTTTGTCTGGTTATTGGTGGTGGTTGCTTTAGGGAGGGCTGCCCCTGAGGAGAGGTTTGAGGGTTTCCCTGCCTTCCCCCATCGATTCTGTTCTGCATTGTGTGACCTACTGCACAGCCTTGAGACAGGAGGTGTAGCTCTTCCTGCTGCAAGCCACACCACATGGAATCCAGGCTCAAACCTGCTGGCTTCAACAAAGCCTTGGTCTGCTGTGAGTGGAGTCAAGGAAATGGAGAGGGGGAGATGTCCACTGGAGGAAATCAAACACAAGGAAAACCCAACAAGAAACCAGAGCCCACAGTGCTCCTGTGCTCCTGGCAGTGAGGGAGCCACAGCTTCAGGGTGCACGAGTGGCCCCGTGCTCTCTCACTGGCCTTTGGGTCAGCGGCTGTGGGAGTGGGAGAACCCCACAGGTCCATCAGGGGGTGCCTGAGGGTGGGGGCTCCCTGCCCCAGGAAAGGGGACGTGCTCCTGCAGCCTCTGCTTCTGCAGTGGGGGTGTTGGGAGGGAGGTTGCACAAGTAATCATGAGGATGTGTGTGTGTGTGTGGGCATTAGAGCTCCTGAGCATTAGGTATGGGAAGACATTCAGAAGTTTCTAGGTGTTTATTAATATTTTGTGTTTGATATTGTGTTTTATCTGTTGGGTTGTTGATGCTGACCTTGAATATATAAAACATGGTTTGGCAGTTAATTACATACCATGGATGAGTTGTTAAACTGCCTAGAACCACACTGATTAGATCAATTTTTTTCGGACTGTTCTGCGCCCTCGGCAGTCTCCACGCTGACCAGGAGGTGTCAGCTGCAGAAGCAGGTGTGTTTCCAGCAGGGACTAATACCAGGCATTCTCCTTTTGGGGCATCTGGGGTGCAGTTCTGTTCTCTCCAGCCTGGTGGCTGCCAACTTGGAGAAATGTCACTTGAGAAGATCTCCCTGTTGTGAATCCAGTGGCTGGTACCTTCTGGCGGCTCTCGGTGCCTGCAGCAGTGCCAGCAAGCAGCACAGAGCAGCTGCCAGTGCTGCAGAGCTGTGGGGTGATGTCACCCTGCCTGCAGCCTGCTGGACCTGAGAAAACACTCAGGTGAGGTTTCCTACATACAAAGTTGGCCTGGCCTCACTTGCAACCCTTTGTGCCCTGCTCTCCCGAGGCTTCAGCTGGGCTGCCCGTGCTGCTGTGCCACCCCCTTCCTCCCCAGTGCAGCCTTGTGCCCCTCTGGCTGGGGAACCCAGCTGTGGGGCAGGGAGAGCAAAGGCTGCATCCAGGAGCAATGCTGAGTCCTTAGGGACACTTCATCCTGCAGGGTTTGGAGTCGAGCACCCCGTGGAGCTGTGCCCCTCGTGGTGGTGAGCCAGTGAGCTCCAGGGGCTGTCATGCACAGGGGCTGTCCAGTGACCCCTGGTGCCCTGCAGCCTCAGTGACAGGTCCTGTGCAAGCCCTCCAAAGCTCCAGCCTCTTTTCCTGATAAAAACATTGGCAAGTTCTTTGTTGTTTTCTGGGTTACTGAGCTCGGGCTTCACGTGGGACTTGCCCAGGCTGAGCCAAGGAGACGCTTCCTGCTGGTTTTTGACTCCCTTTTGAGGATGCTGTGAGTGGGTTTAGCCCTTCGCTGGTAGATACCAACAGCTTCAGCATTTTCACCCATTTTCCTGGTGAGTGTGTCCTCTCTCACCACAGAACCAACACCTGAGAGGTGAGGCCAGCAGTATGTCCTGTGAAACTGCTTGAACATGTGCAAAAGGCAGTTCACAGACTGACAGAATGTCTGGGCTGGAAGGGACCTCCAAAGGTCCAACCCTCCTGCCACAAGCAGGGACAAAGCAGTGGCTTGGTCTGGAGTGATGCTGCTCTTTGTTTTCCTGTGCCTCTGTGAGCTTCTGTGTTGCAACAAACATCTTGTGAAATGTTCTGGCAGAAAAATGATGAAAATTCCCCCATCTCCATGTGCTGAGGGCAACACCCAGGACACAGCTCTGTGTGCACGGCGTGTGAGGGGCTGGAGGGGGCAGTTGGCAGGCCAGGAGGAAGGCTGCATTTGTGCCCACGCTGGTGATGTGGACTCCTGGAGGAGAGTAACAGTGTCCCAGAGATCATGAGTGGCCGAGAGGGAGCCGGCCCTGGAGCTGCAGGTGAGCACAAAGCTTCCTCTCTGTCCTCCTGCAGAAGGAGGGGGGGAAATGCAGGGCTGGGCACTGGGCATGGTGCAGGGGCTGGCCCCACACCCAGAGACCGGGCTGGGACAGGAGCAAAGCAGCAGAAGGGGAAACTGGGGGGTGCCTGGGCTGGAGAACGAGCTCCTCCCTAGTGCCAGGGGAAGGAAAGCCCAGGCAGACTGTGCTCTGCCAGCCCCTTCCCTGGCTTTGCTGCAAATGAAGGACTGGTGGGTGCTGCTGGCACTGTCCAGGTAAAGGTACCTGTGTCTGGCTAAGCTCAAGTCACTGCTCCCATACTGGTGTCTCCAGGGAGCACCAGGCAAGGGCTCTTCCAAGAGCTTCAAGGGGCCCATTCTTCCCGTGGAAACAACCTGCTGTGGGTGTCTGCAGGGAGCTGGCCCCTCACTCAGAACGGCTGCAGCTGCTGTGGGGAAGGGCTTGGGGGCAGAGCCAGAGTAAAGGCAGCAGAGAGAAAGCTCTGGAGAGAGATGAAGAGGAGGGAGGGGTGGGAAGACAAGGGCCATGGAGGGCAACAAGGAGGATGCGTCAAGGAGAAAGGGGGTGTGACAGGACAAAGGAAGGAGGAGTGCAGACTGGGAAGAAAACAGGCATGTGATAAAGAGTGAACTAAAGCAGCTTCAGGGTAGCCCCTCTGCTGCCTCACCCTGTGGGTCTGACCCACTGCTAGTGGTGGCCAGCAGGACCTGGCTTCAGCACCTCTGGGGCTCCCCAGGCCTCGGAACAAAGGTGCCAGCTGGTTGTTGGGCTGTGGAGCCACCTGGGTTCTCCTGCCTCTGCCTCTGGGCTGGGGTATTCCCACTCCTGCCTTGTGTTTTTCAGCCCCAGCAGAAGAGAGAAGCTGCTCCTGGCTGAACCCCTGGGGCTTCCTCGTCGCTGCCCTCGCCATCAAAACTGCCTTTGTAACCATCTGCCTTGGTGGGTTCCAGGTCTTTTAATTCCCCGGGGGTGGGGGGAGCACTTCACTCACTGCCTTTTGTCAGGTGGAAAAACCATACCCTGGTGTCTCTGCCAGCAGGCAGATGCCCTCTGCTGAGCCAGCCTGTGCTGCCTCTGCCCTCTGGGTCAGAGAGCAGGGTCCCTTCCAGGGGTGAGGGCCCTTCCCTGGCAGGGCTTTCACTGCTCCTCTCACTTTGCCACCCGTGAAGCCAGTCCTGGGTGAAACCAGCCAGTCCCTGCCCCCCACCAAGAGCTGGGGAGGTCAGTGCCTGAGGGCATCTGAGCAGGTTCCCCAGAGCCTGGCTGTTGGGTACTGATTACCCTGACCTGGTCTCTCTCAGAGCTCCCTGTGACAATGTGACAGCCAAGGAGCCAGTGTGATGTCCTTGAAACACCACTCTGTCCATATTTTAGCAGTTTGGGAGTGAATCCATCAAAATGCTCTGGATGCATCCCACCAACCAAATCAGAAACCCTTCCCTTGTACTGCCCTGGAGTATCACACTGCTCTGTGATGACTCTTCTGCCACGAAGACCAGGCACCTTGGGACGTGGTTTAGTGGTCATGGGAGTGTTGGGTTGACAGTTGGACTTGATGATCTTAGAGGCCTCTTCCAGCCTTAATGACTCTGTGATTCTGTGCTGCTTAGCTCCCTTGGGTGAGGCCCCAGCCCCGAGCAGTTCCCCCCTTTCTTGATGTGGGTGAAATGCTGCTCTGAAGCTGCAGTGCCTGGGAAGGTTAAGAGGGAAGCATATTAATATTCCACCTTTATTAAGCATGTCCCATGAGTTCTTTGACCCTTTCCTAACCCCACCACCAAAGGGTGTCTGAGCTGGCTCAGTCAGGTGTGAAGATGTCTCTCAGCTGGAGCAGGCCAGGGGAGCTCATCTGCCCAGTGCCTGCTGGGGGAGGGAGTGGTGAGCAGAGCCCACTGCTGCTCCCCAGCCCCTGCTAAATGCTGCACAGCCTGTGACGCTGAGGGTGCCCCTGAGCAGGGCTGCAGGGCAGCACAGGCTGCTCGTGCCTCAGCAGGAGCGGGTGACAGCAGCAATTTCCTTCTCTTTCCTCTCTCCCAGTTGTTTTCCTTCGTGGGAGCCAGGGCCCATCCCAGACCCTGCTGTGGAACGGCACCGAGTGGAGCTGCGTGCCCAGCGGCGCGGCGGGCAGGGGTGGGTGGTGCTGGTGGTGCTGGCAGCCTCCTGCCAAACAGGGAGCCTGGCAGCACCCACTGGGGGCACAGCCAGCCTTCGAGGTGGGGAGTGTGACTGTCAGCCAGAGCTGGGCTGTTTGAAGGAAGCTGGATGACTGAGGACAGAAAATGCTGTATTGCATCATTTCCCTGGGGCTGCTAGACCTTCCTTTGGCCATCGTCCTGCTCCTCCCTCCCTCTGCCCCTCACACAACCCCTCAAAGGCT